TTCAGATTGATTTGACTTTAATGCTTCACAATATAAATATTTTTCTTGTCCATTTGCGTTGAATTCGACTTGGTTATATTCATGTTAGATCATTTATGACTTACGCGCAAATCTAAACCAAAAAACCAAATAGAAGATGAAACATTAGCTAAAATGTACATGTGATAAATTTTGTTATATTTTGATACAATATGTTCTCTTCCATGAATGCATGCTTCCGTATCTAAGCTCTCAGGAGGTGACTTTCATTTATTTGATTGCAGGAACTGGTGGGAGCTGGTATTCTCTTTGCTGCTTTTGGAGTGATTGCTCTTCTATCGTTAGTCTTTATTTTCTTAGTTGTACCAGAAACCAAGGGGCTTACGCTAGAGGAGATAGAGGCCAAGATCTTATAAAATATTATTTATACACCATTAGCAAACCTTAGTAGAAGCCTTACAAGTGATAATAATGGAAAGCTGCATGTATGATATATATCAATTAGTTTAAAGTAAATACAAAAATTAAATTAGAATTCTCTTTGTATAGGTGGTCCAATACAAATTGAGAATGTGTAAAAACTTGTACTTGAGAAATATTTGATTGTGCTATCTAAACAAATGGAACTCTTTTTTTCTTTTCTAGGTGAAGTTTTTTTTTAATTTTTATTGGAGACATTTAGGTCAATTAAGTCAAACTCACAGATATATCACATACGTAAGACTTAAATCCAAGACATTTTATTTGGTAGCGAAAGCTCTCAATCGGCAGATCAAAGTGAGCTACGGAAGATTTTTTTGAAGTGAAGCTTGAAAAGCAGGGGTAAGACATTGTGCGCCAATGTTATTTTACTTATTCTTCATGTGTTTGATTAAGGTTTTGTTTGAGATAGTTTTTTTATTGCTTTTTAAGATAGTTCAAGAAATTTCTTAACAAAAAATTGTTTTGAAAAGCAATAAAAAAGCTGTTCAATACTAAGGCTTTGTTTGGGACGGCTTTCTTGCTGCTTCTTAAAGCAGATTTTTAGTTCAATAATTAAAATTTTTGTACTAGAAAGTTGTTTTAAGAAGCAATAAGAAAGCCATCTCAAACGAAGCTTACGTCTAAATATATAAGCTTAAGAGACAAGTTATGTTACTTTGGCAAATAATAAGCTTATTTTAACATCGTTTATATTACAAGAATTGTGTTCTCTTGCACTAAGGTTTCGTTTGGGACGACTTTCTCACTGCTTCTTAAAGCAGCTTTCTAGTACAAAAATTAAAATTTTTGTACTAGAAAGCTGCTTAATTTTTGTACTAGAAAGCTGCTTTAAGAAGCAGTAAAAAAGCCGCCCAAACGAAGCCTAAGTGTCTCTTTGGGATAATTTTCATTCAACTTTGTTTTTCAAGTAGCAATTATAATTTTTTTTTTGTTTTTTTTTGTTTTTTTTTTTCCCAACAATATCAATGATAGAAAATTATTTTTTTACAATTAGAATAATTATGTTACTTCTTTCGTAGTAATTTTATAAAATGTTGCAGCTGACCCAATCATATCTTAAATTTTATTTATGATCTTAAAATAATTCTAAAACAAGTGATGGTTAATGTTTTTATTATACTTGAGTTTTTGCATTCATTTACAAATATGCGCACTTGGAAATTAAATTAAATAGATAAATTTGATGTGATCACTTTCAAATATATGATAAAAAAAATTTATTCTCTTTGATATTAATAGAATTAGAGATGTTCAAGATTTTGAAGAAATGTTTTTTAAAGTAACATTGATAATTATTAAATCTTAAAATTTTGAAGAGAAGTTTTTTTTAATATTTTTAATAAAAACTATTTTTATTCAAATAAAAATATATAATATATTAAAATATCTTAAAGGATGATTTTCTGCCGACAAAAACATAATTTGTAAACCTTTGTCTATTTTTTTTAAATAATCAGTCACATTCGGATCTTAAAAAAAATCTAAATATCCTTTTTAGTGATCTACTTACATCATGATCAAGGATCCTCCTAAAATAAATGATAAAAAATAAATAAATTTTAATTATAAAACTTTGACAAAATGTGAGCACGTGGCTATCAATGAATGGCTACATGGGCTGGCCCATCACCAACGCCCAACTACCAAAAATTAAAATTATAAAATATAATTTTCAACTAATACCCACATTTGTTTTTTATTTTTAAATTTTAAATTATTATATTTCTCGGTATTATTATTATTATTATGTAAAATTGCAATTCCGACATAAAATTCCCACTACAACGATATCCCCACTCGCCTCAACCCTTCATGATTTTGCCTTCCAATCATTCAAACAAACCCACCATAATTAATTGCTTATTTAAATAAATGAAAATTTTAGTTTTAGGAAATAAATTTATTTCTCAATTAAGACTTTATTTGGGATAGCTTTCATACTGCTTCTAAAGTTGCTTTTTAATACATAATTTAAAATTTTTATATTATAAAGTTGCTTTAAGAAGCAGTAAAAAAATAGTCTCAAATCGAAGACAAAAAAATATGTATAAGTTTTTTAGGATTTATTTCAAATTGGCTAACAGGAAATGCTTGATTATGAATGAAGAAAGTTAGATTGGTGGCTAAGGAGTTGACACATATAGAGGATGATTTATGAAGAGCATTCGACCTATGGTACTTTTCGACTTGGGAAATGAGAGATAAAAAAGTCCGATAGATCTATCTTGATAGGAGAATCAAGTTGCCATAGATTGATAGGAGCTTTATGGGTGTCAAATTATATAAAGACGAGAGTTTATGCTGTGAAATTTTGCGGTCTATCGGTATAAAATAAGACTACTATATAATACATGAGGGAGAAATTGAAAACTTTCAAAAATAGTAACTATTACCTTTTCTTTTTCATTAAGAACTTTTCTTTATCTATTTTGTTGCATATGTAGATTTTATTTTTAAGAGCTATAACATATTGGCTTATATTACTAATCAACTTGTCTTCTCAACATATAAAATATTTAATGTTAGATGATTATTTTAATACTATTAAATGATGTAGTGTATGCATATAAATATTTTTAATCTTAACTTTAATTTGCACAAAGCCACACGCTCGCATACAAAGGCAAGCAAGTAATTGTGGTTGTCAATGTAGTAGCAAAAGGCAATGGCAATTAAGCAACAATGGTCAAATAGTCGTAGTTAGATGCTGGCTGTCAAATGACAGTAATTGAACAAATATGAATGCTGGTGACGATCATTGATGGCGATCAACATATACAACTTTTGAATTTTTTTATATCTGAGCTCTCTGTAATTTTAGGTCCCCTTCACGTCGATAATGAAGACTAATTTATAAATTTTTAAATGATAGTTGGATTATTTTTACATAAATCTCACAATACTTCATAGGACAATCTATATTCTTGTAGATTTTTTTTAAGGTTTAAACGCCTTAATAATGTTATAATGGAATGATATTGTATTTGATACGTCATCATAAAATTATCTTGATCGGGCACAAATCGCGAGGCAAAAATCAAGATGGAAACTTCAAAAATTAAATCTGGGATCATTTGAACTCCGATTTCAGCAAACTTACAGTCGAACTGAGCGTATCGGAAATACGAACCCAGGGACACCAAATTCGGCTCAATCCAAGCCCAAATGAGTCCAAATCAAGGACCCAAAGCGCTATTGGAAAGTTCAAACCACCATTTGAGTTACAAAACGGTTTTCAAACTTGACAAGCTTATAATCAAATCGAGCGGCTCGACGAGACAAATCCAACGAGATCAAGATCTACGAATTCTGACACCACTAAGACCTTCAAATGTCTGACAAACGGTTCATGATCAAGGGATTCAATATTGATGCTGGAGTTCTCCTATACCGCCAACAGAAGTCGGACTTCTACCCGACGCCGGACCTTCACTCGTCGCCAAGTTTCTACCCAATGTCGGACTTTCGCTCGACATCTATCTGAAGTGAGATTTCTTTCCATTGTTAGACTTCTACTTGACGTCATTCTTCTGACATTCTTCGTCACACAACAGTCCTTCGGACCTCCGTCGCCAGCCGACTACGGTCCTTCTGACTTACGTCGCCCACCGACTATAGTACTTCCGACCTCCATCACCAGTCGACTACGGTCCTCCTGACTTACGTCGTCCACCGACTACAGTCCTTTCGACCTCCGTCGCCAGCCGACTACGGTCCTTCTGACTTACGTCGCCCAACGACTACAGTCCTTCTGACCTCCGTCGCCCGCTGACTACGATCCTTCCGACTTATGTCGCCCACCGACTAGTCTTTCAGACCAAACAAACACATCAGCAGTGATTCTTTGTATTCTCATTATGTAATTTACTCTATAAGATGTACATCAAGTTAAGGCCTTCCCCACAAGAAGGGCCTCATTTGTAATCAACTGCAATACTAGTTGATTTATTCAAACTGGGCTAGGCCTGTGATTTTTTTCCCCCTTTTCAGGAGTTTTCCACATAAAAATCTTGATGTCTCTAGTAAATGACGTACAATCTCTTTTTATCTGTATGTGTGCTAGATCTTTGTACAACGTTAAGATGTTAAACTTTATATTTCTCTACCGCAGCAAATATTTCAGGACGCAACAGTATTCATAGTCACTTATATTAATTATGAGAAATCGTATTGGAGTGCTTTTATTTATTAATTTTAAATATACTATAACTTTATATTCATATTCTAATAATAAATTAATTTTATTTATTTAATAGCAGTCTATATTATATTCCTTCACCGGTTCGACGTTCCCATCCATGACCCACGTGATGGTCGGCCCCACTGAACCGTCTCCTCTAACTGTCCATAACTTCTTCATGCAGGTCTGCAGGAGTGCAGGTAGTCGCGTTCAAGAAGATCAGACGTACATTATTTCTTCTCCTTTCACAACGACCCCTAACATTTACAAAATTATAAACTTAATTCATCTGGCAAATCCGTAAATTTTTTTGTCATTTTAAAAAATTAGATTCTCCACCACCCCCTTCCCTCCTCGAAAGCAGCGTGCGGCTTTCAGATCTACAGTATAAATAGGTTCGCCCGGCCGAAGCTCGTCGCCCTTACATCTCTCTTTCGCCAAAGTGGGGATTACGGGATCGGGCGGTGGAGCGCATGACTAAGCGGAGGCAGTGCGGGTCGGAATCCTCGCCGGCGAGAGTATCTTCTAAACCGGCGGAGGGTCCGCGGTCAGACAGGCCTGTGCGCGTGTACGCTGATGGAATCTATGATCTGTTTCACTTCGGGCATGCCCGGTCTCTGGAACAGGCGAAGAAATTGTGAGATCTCTTGTTATAGTTGTTCCGCTCTCTTCTTTTTAAGGCTTAATTTGTTGTTCTTGTGGTTTTTTAGTTTGGAAGCACGGAGGCAGTGTGGAGACTGAATTAGAATTGATTTGGAACCTCTATGGCTATATTTTCAATCTTGGATTTCTAAATTTGATTGTCGTTTTGACAGTTTCTGATTGTTAAGAATGAGAGTTAGGAGCCTAGCTGGAAATTCCATTTATAGTTGCTTAAACAGCTTCCACGCTGATGAAGCTTGAAAGAGAAGCAGAGTTTGGGCAGTAAAAATTAGAAGAAATAGAATCAGTACACACAATTGGACAAGAAATAAAAATACAATTTAGAGATTTTCTTATGCTTAAATAACTTAACTATCATTCTAAAATGATCGAGTCGGTTATATCAGCTCCTTAAAGATTTCTGAAGGAAGAGTTATGAAATAATTATCCAATTATCATATTCGAAAATTAGGATTGACTCTTAGTATGTCTATGAAATTTTTTGTATATTCTATACAAGCATGATTTACTTTTAATGCATTCATAAGTACTATTGATGATTATAACTATTAAATTATTATTAAATTAAATCAAAATTTAAACACTATCTTCCATTCTTTATTCCAAGAATATATTTGAGTTTATGAAATGAATTTGTTTCATTTCATTTGGTGAAGATATTCACAATTTGGTCATCTTTTTTCAGCTATAAAGAAATAAGAGCCATTGCTTTTTTTTCTTTTCACATGCTCTTGAATGAAATGGTATCATAGATGCTGATATGCTTACTTCTTTCATGATGGACTGAATTCTTGGCTAATTTAATTTTCAATTTGCAATTAATATTGATCTTGTAGCTTTAAGTTGACATTTCCTCCAATAACACTGCAACATATTTTGGTCACAACTAAAGAGAGTATACTACAGGAAAACCCGGTATTACCGGCGTACAAAATCCGCCGGTAATACATAAAATACGATGGAAATCCTCGATTTCCGGCGCATTTCCATCGGAATTTCATACGCCGGTTTGGCACGCGTCGGAAAAAGTCTTCCGACGTATATTAGACGTCGGAACTCGTTCCGGCGCACTTTCCGACACATTACCGGCGAAAATTGTGTTAACAAAACGTCGTTTATTACCTAATTATTCCGGCATTATCTACGCCGGAATTTACGACGTACGTATCCTCCGGAAACGCCGGCGGAAAAAATGTCGTAATGTACGTCGTAACTAAAGCTACAGCTTGTTAACGGCGCGTTATCCGCCGGTAATGCCGGCGGATAAAAACAAATTTTATAAACTGCATCTTAAATATCCATTTGAATGTCGTATCACCCAATTAGAAAACAAATTTTGCGGATCTTTTTTTATCATATGTAATCCTCTCCACAATCTTAATTAGAAAAATCTAATAATTAAAAACTATAAAGCACTTAAATCAATACTAGATACTGACATATCACAACACGAAGGCTATGGCACGATATATATAGCTGCTAAAAGCCTAAAAGTAGACACGACTTGGTCAAATACAATAGTTTTATGAATTATTAATAAAACGTGTAATCAATGTATTTATTGTCTATATTTTCTATAAAATAAATTTATACAAAAAAAAGTATAATATCATATGTATTACATAAAAAATTCTAGTGCTAACAAAAATATTGATTTAATTACAATTGGATATAGCGTGGGATCAACCACTTCACTTTCAAAAACCTTAAGTTTTATAGAGAGTGGATCAACCACTTCACTTTCATCATATTTGGATGAGTTCACTTTGCAATCAAGTGGGTGCTAATTGGATTGCAATTAAGGGGGTGCTAATTGGATTGCAATCTTCTTTTTTTTTTTTGTATAAGCTTCTTGTGACACGAGTATCTTCTTTCACCTGCTTTACTTTCAAATTGAAAAAGTCATTCATAGGCCCATACTTGTAATTTTGTAATTTCACCTTAGATCCATTTGGCGTGTGGGGTGCTTTCTATAATGTAAGGGGCAAGAAATATTCCGAGCAAGCTCAATTCTGACTGCTTTGATTTTCACATTAAATTAGAATCATCACCTTTTATCTTTTCATTCTTAAGTGCTGCTTGTGTATTAATTATATTTTATGTAAGTACTTTTGCACAACCTTCAACAGAACTACCTTATATCCCTTTTGTTTCTAATTATTTCTCTTTAATTCTATTTACTTATCTTGTTAGTACATTTTTTTTCCTTTATTGTATATGATTATTATCTTCATTATTGTTATCATTAGTCATATCACTATTATTTCGGGTTGGCTTTAGGAATCCTCAAATTTCTTTTATTGCATTTATTCGATAGATCATTTAGCCAACCCATTAAGTAATTGATTATTTCATACTATTTTATAGTAGTTAAAATGAAATGTTAAAGAAGTTTTTTATTTCTGGCTTTTTTCAAGTGAGCATAATTGTATTTCATGATCAGTTTAATAATTTAATGCTTATTTTGATGATCCTATGGTTCCATCTTGTATCTGTTTCAATGACGGCTCATGAAATAGATTATCTAATATACAAAAAAAGGTGATATTTTGTATTGAATTTGTGCCCTTTACATCGTTTCCGTTAGAAAACTATATATGATTGCGCATGTATGTGGTCATCTGCATAGATTGGCATCCTATAGCTATAATATGTTGAGTGCATAGAAGTTCTTCGATCTTTTAAAAACCTCCTACCTGTGATTGTATTGTGAATTTATGCTGGCTGCGATATAAATTTCTACAATTGTTTTGTTATAAGATTGGCCGAAGTTGAATTAATTTGAAACTCTAATCACAGTTGGATCAATGACGGATTGTTTCCATGTTAATTATCAAGTTTCTTATGTTGAAGTCATGCTTCAATTCATTTCCTAATTCAACTCCTCCCGGAGTCACTTTTCTTCCTTTTCAGGTTTCCCAACACATACTTGCTTGTTGGGTGTTGCAATGATGAAATTACACATAGATACAAGGGGAAGACCGTCATGACTGAGGCTGAGCGTTATGAATCCCTCCGCCACTGCAAGTATGTCTTTTTATTTTTTGCTTAGGCTCAGCTGTAAATATGTTGAATGTTATAATTTTTATGACAGATTAAAGGGAACAGTTTTCTAGGTCAATAATTTTGTTGTAGTAAATATAATGTGTTGGGTGATATGAATTCTGCATCTTACTTGATCTATTGACAATTAAATGATAAATATAATTGAATTATGTAATTGCTTCGTGCATAATTCAATTCGTCTTCACAGAGTTGCTTGCCCAACCAGTTTGCTTGAATAGTTGGTAATAAACATATCAATCAGGGCATCTAACGATAGACTTTTTGAATTTAAAGTATGTGAATGTTATTATTAGTTATTTGTGATTTGGAAATGTTTGCTGAATTCTCATTGCATGCTTCTATTTTTTTTGTAAATTACGATATGACATGCTTCTATTCCTCGTAAATTGCTATTTGTTATAAATGGAATGGCTTTCCAGTTGGGGTGTTAGCAGTGAAGCTCGAGGCTAAAATGCTTAACTAAACTTTTTGGTTTTCTCAATTGTATATTGCAGGCCGTTCGGCTACCATGCATCTTGAACATACGTAAGGGCTCATTTGGTTGCTTCAAATTAGAAACTTTATTTACAAAAAAAAACTGGAAATTTATTAGATTTTATCTTTTGGTTTGATTTAATTTGAATCAACATTGATTTAATCTCTTAAATTTTTTTCAAGTCCCCCCAAATATGATGAATTCATTTTTTCAAACACAAAATGAATGAAAATAAAATCATTGTTGTCTTTTTTTATTTTTTTCCTATTTGAACGCAACCAAATGAGTTCTAATTAGTTGCAGTGGATTCTACATTTATCCTCACCTAAACTGTAATTTTTTTTTTAATTTGCATAAACAAACTGTTTGAAGATGCATAACCCTTCAATTGAGAGGTGACTAAATCTCTTTCTCTCTCCCCCAATCTTTCGTTGCACCCCGCACCTCCGCTTTTAAGGGATGATTATTTGTGACAAGAACAAGTTTTTTTGATATTCTGGATTTTTATGTGTTTACTTTTCACATTTAGAATGTAATATTTGATTTGCCATCAATCCTCAAACATCACCGACAAGAAAATATATGATTATACAACCTTGTATTCTTTCAAATTGTACTCGCCTTTGATAATATTGCAATCTTCTTAATAGATGGGTTGATGAGGTTATTCCTAATGCTCCATGGGTTATCACAAAAGAGTTCATGGAAAAGCATATGATCGATTATGTGGCCCACGACTCACTTCCGTAAGTTTTATCATAATTCATCATTTAGTCTTTGCTACTCAGAATTCAAACATGAATTATTGATGTCATCAACTGAAGTTATATCTTGTTGCTTTGTTGGTTTATGTGTGAAAAGCAAGGATTTAAATTCTATATTTAATTTTGCTTTGTATCATTTTCTATTTTCTTGCACATCTGATAAAAAAAATTGGAATGCCAACTTGTACAAACTAACAAATGTTTAGGTCATGTAATAGTTCACTAAATTTTAACGTCGCATCTACAACACTATTCCTCACATAAATCTTCATCTGATGGTGGCTATGGTGGCGTGTATTTGAGTGCATAAATCAATTATTTTTTTACTATAATTCTTCCATTTTTATTATGCCACCAATTAAACTCAAATTAGTACGTATTGTGCCTTTGGCTTGTAAAATCTGACAAAGGTTTTGTTTGGAACAGCTTTTTTAGAACAATTTTTTAGTACAAAATTTTTTTGAATTAGAAATTTTTGTACTAAAAAGTTGTTTTATAAAACAATAAAAAAATTGTCTCAAACGAAGCCTAACTAGTTGAAGGGCATGTATACCGAATTCGCGGCAGAGTTCGTGGATCCGCCGATCATAAGGCATGTACGCTGGATTTCTAGTTTCTTTCCTTCTTGCGTTTTACACAGAGGTTAACAGAAAGTAACCCGTTTATATTTTTTTAATTATTTTAGATATTATGGTTACAACTCAATAATTTTTATTTTGTTACTATCATAAATTTAAATTATTAATATTTATAATACATTCACAAACTAGTTTAATCACTAAAAAATCATAGTATTTGGAATTAGGCCAACAATTAAAATCACATCTTATTTAAATGTAAAGTGTAGTTAAAATTAATTTAAGCTTTTAAATAAGCGTAGTTAAAATATGTTCGTGTTAAGCAATCTAGCTGCATAAAAAAACAAAGCTCAACTTGCGAATTTATACTGCATATATTGTTTGCACTACTACCATGTGATGATGTGAATGTCATAAACAAGTTTTTTAGCTCAATTAACATTTATGAGTTTTGCAGGTATGCCGATGCAAGCGGAGCTGGCAACGATGTTTATGAATTTGTCAGTACATCTTCTGCATTTGTACAATTGGGCTGATCAAATTGACATCAACTAATCCAATAGGTTCCTTAAAATTCTTTCATGGTTTAGGTTAAAGCCATTGGAAAATTCAAAGAAACAAAGCGCACTGATGGAATATCCACATCTGATGTTATCATGAGGATTCTCAAAGATTACAATCAGTATGTTATGCGCAATTTGGCACGTGGATATACGAGGAAGGATCTTGGTGTGAGTTATGTGAAGGTATGAAAACATTGAAGAGCTCATCTTATGCCATTAAATCAAGAGAAATTTATCAGAACTTTCTGCTCTCTATGTATTCTTTTTTCGTTGATGTTCTTAAAATTTTAAACTGCTTATTTATTAAACCTATGGTTTTCAGGAGAAGCAACTAAGAGTCAATATGGGTATAACTAAATTGCGTCAGAAAGTCAAGGAGCATCAGGAAAAGGTATATTATTTTGCATGATTTCTTATGGTTTCATGCACTTATTTTATAAATGAGATTTTGTGCTGTGGATTTCATGGTTTAAAATTGCGCAATATGAGGCTCGCCTTGAGGCCCGCCTTTGCACAATTCCAGTAAAAAAAACCTCGATGCTTACGCCTTAAGTTTTTTTATGAGGCTTGCGCCACAACTTTGTTGAGGCCCGCCTCGCCTCACTGGCATGAGGCTTACGCCTCACGCTATATATATTAAAACTTACATAAATCTTGAAGTAAATGCCCGACATTGGACTCTATAGGAGAGGAGAAAGGGGAGAGAGCA